TTTCGACTCCACCACATTGAAGACTTATCCATTTCAATTGTTGACATTGGTTCCGTTCAGCGTCTTTGATGGGAAGGATCTTCTCTATTTAATTGATTGCAAAATACAGTGATTTGTTAATTTTTTTTGCTGGAAGAACCTCCTCCTTCAAATGATAGGGAAGTACTGAGTTCGCAAGTAATCATTAGGAATACTTGAGTTTGCAAGGAAAACCTTTCCCAATGTGTTATCCGAATTAAAAAGGCTTAACACAGCATATTGCAGTCCTGAAACGTCTCAGCAGCCTTATAGGCTTTAATTTCCCCTTCTTCAAATTTCAAGCACTAGTAATCACTCTCGTAGGAACAATGTGACACTAACAACCTTCATTAAGGGCCTTCCTCTACAACCTCCTTTTATATCATTCCTGATTGATGCAGGAATATCAAATTTTTTACATATATTGAAGAGAATTTTTCTGAAATTCCCTGATTACTCTTGCTTGCATTTCTAATAATCTGTTGTTTGTTTAACATAATCCAAGGCCCATAAGAAGGTATGATAGATCTTCTTTAATTTTTTCCTCTGACTTTTCCCCTCTAATTCCTTTTCCGTCTACCTCTATTGCGGATTCTTCAAATTTTTAAGAGTTGTGTGGAGAGTTACAACCATTCCATGATTCACAACATGCCAAATTTTTTTTTTTTTCACACCACTAGCAATTAATAAGGCAGGGAAAAAAGGAGAGGATAGTAAATAGTTCCTTTGGAAATAAGAATATTCCAAAATGATTGTCCAATTTGAATATCTTTTGAAAAGAATATTTAAAGGAATATTCTTTAAAAAAAACTATTTTGAAATTTATAAAAAAATTGATGTTTTAGCAGGGACGGTTATATCCAGTTTTAACAAATGCCTTGCCCTTATCAAGAGGATATTCCACATCCTAATTACCCATTTTGAGAACCTCCTTTCCCGGCCATACTTAGTCGCCAGAAAAACCTTGGTGGGAAAAATTGTGTCTCACCACGCAGATTTTGATTTCTCCTATTTTGTAATCGAATACTGCATTAAGAATAAAGTACAATCTAGAGAGATTGACACAATATTCTACAATGGATTCAATATCAGAATAGGGTTTTGAAAATTGATATTTCTATAATCAAACATAGTTTAAAGAATAACATATCATCTCAAAAGATGAACATGAAATTCTATAGAATATGTTTAAAAATAGAAATATATTTTTTTAAAAAAATTTATTCATTCTTTTATTTAGATATGACAAGAAGAATATTATATCATCTTAAAAGACGAACATAACATTCTTCAAGATATCCAAAAGTGAGAATGAGTTTTATAAAATTCATCATTTCTAAAGTTAAATATAACAAGTATAATATTATATTATCTGAAAAGATAATAATAACATTCTATAAATCTATTCAGAATTAGAAATGAGGTTTTAAAAATATCTACGTTCCCAAAGATTCTTTCCTTGTTTTATACAAATAAAACAAGGTTTATTTTAGTCTGGGGTTCTCAAATCCTTATAGAGGCAAGCCCCTATAGTTAATTACATCCTAGGAGAGAAGCTCCTAAGAAAACTCTCGATTAAAGTAGTGATTTCATACCCTTTTGAGTACAAAGTAGAAGACAAGGAAACAGAAGTAGGAATTTTTCAAGAAGAAAGCTCCATGTTGAACATTTTTTAGCGGGTCAAAGGAAGAAAAGTAGGAGGCGTCGAATTCTGAGAAGCTCAGAAGTAACCTTAGTCTATCCTATGTTGGGCTTTATATTTTAAAAGAGAAATTTTATATTTAAGTTGACATTTTATTAAAAATTTGGGATTATATTCCCGGAGGGCGAGGACTTAAGATCTAAAAAGAATCTGCCTCAGAACCTAAATCTAATTTGGGTACTATAAAATAGTGACCCGAACCTAACTAATGAAATACAAATCTGGACTTATCCCGGCCTAGATTGGGGAGCCAGCTAACCACCTAAACACTTTAAAACCATGTTTCAAGTCTCTTATGAAAGATAGGTAGGGACGTTGCTTAAGTTTTAATGAATTGGGGCCGACATCTAAGATAATTCCTAATTAGCCCCTCAACTTATGTAGGGTGAATTATGCCTAAAAATTCAATTAATATTTTAGGCACTTTTTAATTTGTATCTAATGCAATGCATGCTAATTGACTCGAATGCATAAAATGAATATGAAGCAGTTTTAAAATTAGGCTTAGAAAATTGGTTTTTCCCTAGAGATTGCACAACTTCCCCTTGAAGGTCAAGTGGTCTGCCAGAACCCGCAGGCGGGGAGGTGCTTAACAAGAAAGAGAAAGTATTAATATGCTTATGCTGACTCTCAGTGGTCCCGAGCTTACTTCTTAGATCGTTAGAGTTACTATGTGAGCCTAAAAATTTTATTAGAATTACAAGTAGAAAAATTTTATACGTACCCTTACGAAAAAATCTCTCTGATTCGAATCCTGGATAAAACAAAACACGACATGCAAAGGCCCTAAAAAAGCTATTGCACAAATAATATAAACAATCAAATTTAATAATCCAAAATATAATGTCCAATGTCCATATAATTACACCCAGAATTTGCAGAAAAGTAAAGTGGCCGGGCACCACTGACAACAAACCCGGATTCTAATCCTAAGAATGACGCAAGTGATTTTTGAACTGGGATATACTGTTCCTTGAATCTTTATTTCTTCGTCTTCTTTCTTCATTTCTTCATTTCATCCTTTCTTCTTCTACGAACTCTTTGGATCTGTCAGATCTGAATATCCAAATGAAAAGAAACTCATGCCTAAAGGGGGTATTTTCTTTTCTATTTGGATACTAAAGTCATCCTAATTTGGCTTTTCAAATAAAAGAGAATAATCCTTTAAGGTATATTCTCCTTTCTTTAGATTCCAAATTAGATATGATATCCCACTTTCAAAATCACTTTCACATTTTTCAAACACATTTACAATACATTACATTTCACGGAAAGAAAAAGAAAATTTAGACCACCTGCAAGGTTATCCTAAGCAGTTTATAATAAAAATCATCCCAAGCAGTTATATGTATACATTTAAATTAAATCCACCAGCCACACTTGGCCACACTCCTTATTTGGGGGCTAAGCAGCTGAAGCACCTGTAGCATTTATAAAATTTATTAATCAATTAGCCCCCTTTTTACTTCCCTGCATGAGTGTGACCACCTGCAGAAAATTTTGTTAACAACCAGATCGCTCCTAACCTATGGGTAATCTAATCGTCAATCAAATCATATCATAGAGTACAATAACAGTAAATAAACAAACACACCAATAATTTTACAACCAACATGCAGTGAAAACTGAGAAAAAGCCCGTCACACAACAGTAAGAAAGTAAACACCGGCCTAACCTAAAACTAGAGTCAGTTGTCCTAGGAAACAAATCTAAGTGTGTGTAGTAAGCTGTGAGATTTTAATATGTCCTAGGACAATTATTGGCTAAAGTTTTCTAATTGATTGAATTTTAATTTAAAAATATTCACTAATCCTTAGGTGAGGTGTCACAAAATTTTCTATGTTATATGTTTCTATCCTATAGTGTGCATGCATCCTAAGTCAAGATTTTCTAAGACTCGGTCCTTAATTTTTATCCTTAAGTGTTACTACTGTTGTATAGGGTGAAATTTTTGTTATTACTAACCCTTAAGACATTTCGCACATGTAAAAAGATTTAGGGATCTAAAATCAAATAAAAGTAAATCTAATAAAATTGAAGTTACTACAGGGACCTAAAGGAAGGGTTCGCACAAACCACATCAAGGGGCCCCTAAAGGTTTTCTAAGTTTAAAATACTTACAGTCAATGGGGGCTATGACCCGGTGTTTCCGCCCGTAGCACCTCTACCTGGTTGGATAGAGGTGACTGACGTCATTAGCTCCTTGTCCTTTTGTTCACTCGACTGGTACCGTTCCTCGTAGTTTATGCAAATAAAGAAAAGAAAATAAGGAAAAACAGGGCTTAGAAAACACATTTAATAATTAATAATAAAATAAATCAATTTTTCACTAAAAATAAAGACGTACCTTTCTTCGGGCTTGAATGCCAGTTTGCTTGAATGTCTTTTGAACTTTTTCATTTCTGAATTCATATTATATACCTTTCCAACATTCACCTCGAGGCAACAAGAAAAGGGAAAAAGAAGAAAAGAGAGAAAGAGGTAGAGAAAAAAGATAACATTCTTTAAAACTTCTAATTTTCCAAACATATAATTTCACTTTTTCCAAAAACTCGCACAAATTCCACCTTTTAATGCACACAAGTTTACTTTTCAAAATCACACACTTATACTTTACTTTTTACATACACCTTTAACCTTAATTCGAAACACACACATTTTCAAAAATCACACACCACACTCTCCACTACAAAAATATTAGTTCCCAACACATTTCATTTTTCCCAAAATTCAAACATCTTACTTTTCAAAATCACTCTTATATTTTTCAAAACATACACCTATCCACTTTTCAAGTCACCCATAAATTTCATTTTTTAAAACCCTTTACAAATTTCAATCTTTCAAAAAATCACATACTTCAAGTTTCATTTCTCAACACACATAAAATCCAAATCAATACGCCAAACACTTCACTATTCAAATATCACACACTACACTTTACCATTCATCTTTTAACATAACCACTTTCATTTACTCGAAAGCACAAAGCACTGTTTACTTTCAAAATAAATTTCTACTTTTATTTCCAAACATACAATTTTACTCTTCCAAAACTCACACAAATCTCACTTTTCAAATCACCCAAGTTTATTTCTCAAACCCATCTTTTCACTTTTTCACCTTTCAAAACACACAAGTTCCAAAATTCAAAAATATATA